CTGATTACACTGTAAATGATAATCTACCTTAACCAAAATCAAAGTAGACTATCACTCACCCACACCAGATGGAAAACTCTACAGACTGTCGGTTCACACCCCATCACAAGCCAGCAAAACATCCACGTCGTCACATATATATATAATATATATATATATATTTTTTTATTTGCATAGTTGTTCCTAACTAGCTCACCTCCGGATGATTCTCCCATCACAAGAGGATGAAAGACGAGTGGAAAATTGGCTGAGGACTTTGCAGGCACGGTTAACTCCTTGGGCCCCGAGAAGCTCTCCCCCATCAGCACCGCTTTCACATGCACCGGTCTGTCGGCAGTGTTGATCAGTGGAATGTCCTGAGTTATTCGCTGCCTCACTGGGCATTCAAACTCCAAAACTGCTGAAACTGCTGGGACGGTGATAGAATACTCCAGGTCGTAGACCCGCACATCGACAGCTGACGTCAACACCAAACGAACGAACACGTTGCCCGGGGTTCGAGGAGTGAATGTGGGGATGATAGTGTTGATGGGCTCAGAGGTGTGAGATGCGAGGCCAGTTTGAAGGGACAGCCTAGCATTCTTGGTGGTCGGAGTGAGGGTAAACTCTGCTGGAACGGATACGGCATGGTTGCTGCATTCGACACTGTATTTCAACGGAGCAGTGGAGGTGGACAGGGAGCGCACAAGGTCCGCCATGAGCTTGGTTCGGGACTGAGGATGCTTTTCAAGGTATGTCCTTTTGGCACTCTCGAGCTGGTTGTTCATTGTAAGGACGACCACCTCTCTAGCGACGGGGCTTGAACTCAGCTCGCAAATGAATCTGCCTGCCTGCATCCACCAGCAGCACCACCATCACCAGGAGGAGGAGGAGGAAGAGGAGGAGGAGGAAGAGGAGGAGGAGGAGGAGGAGGTAGCACCACCATCACCGAGAGGAGGAGGAAGAGGAGGACAAATAGAAGAGAAGGTAAGGGAAGAGGAGGGTGAGGGGAAGAAGATGGACACAATAGTTAACAAGGTGGAGGAAGAGTAGAAAGAGAACCAATGAGTAGGAAGATGAGTAGGAAGATGAGTAGGAAGATGAGTAGGAAGATGAGTAGGAAGATGAGTAGGAGGAAGAGGAGAAAGAGGAGGTGGGGGAGGAGAAGGAGGAGGAGGAGGAGGAGGAGCACAAATAGAAGTGAAGGTGGAGGAAGAGGACGGGGAAGAGAAGGAGATGAAAACAATAGGTAAGGAGGTGGAGGGAGAGGAGGATGAGTAGGAGGAAGAGGAACAAGAGAAGAAAGAGGAACAAGAGAAGGAAGAGGAGGAAGGAGAACATAGAAGAGAAGGTGGACGAGGCGGATGATGGGTAAGAGGAGGACAAAGACAAAAGGTCATAGTGATTGCATCACAAATTATTGGAAAAATGGTCAAACAATGTGCGATGGATTTCTTTTCTTTTTCTTTTTTTTGGTGGGCGGTGAAGAGGAGGAAAGGGAGGAGAAGACGATAATTTGGGGGGAATGTGGGAAGAAGATGGAGAGCAGGAAGACTTCAAAGAGGAGAAATGGGGAACAGTAGCAGGGGTGCGAGAGGGAGGCTTGTTCGTCGTCTGGTTCCCAGAAAATCTGATGCAGTGAATGCACCTGACGGTAAGTACAATGTACACACTGAGAGATTGACATTACACACTGAATCGCCTGAATGAATATTCAGTTCGTGAAATCTGTTTCCCTCTTGTCCAGAAAGATTCTCTTTCTCTCTCTCTAACAAGTGTGTGCGCGCGCGCGCGCGCACACACACACACACACACACACACACACAGAGAGAGAGAGAGAGAGAGAGAGAGAGAGAGAGAGAGAGAGAGAGAGAGAGAGAGAGANNAGAGAGAGAGAGAGAGAGAGAGAGAGAGAGAGAGAGAGAGAGAGAGAGAGAGAGAGAGAGAGACTCACACACTTGTAGTGAGAAGTTAAGAACCAGAACAGAATAGCGAAAGAAAACTGAGTCTTCACGAAACTAGAAAAGAGAAGGAAGGAAGGAAGGAAGGAAGGAAGGATGGAAGGATGGAAGGATGGAAGGAAGGAAGGAAGGACGGAGGGAAAGAACGAAGGAAGGAGGGGGGGAAGGAACAAAGGAAGGAAGGAAGGGAAGGAGGGAGGGAGGGAGGAAGGAAGGAAAGCAAGGCAAGGGCAAGGAAGGGAGGAAGCCAGCAAGGCAATGGCAAGGCAAACGCAAGGCGAGGGCAAGGGAGGAAAGGAAGGGAAGAAAGGGGAGGGAGCAAAGCAAGGCAGGGGAGGGAAGCAAAGCAAGGCAAGAGCAAGGGAGGAAGCAAGGTGAGGACAAGGGAGGGAAGAAAAAAGGAAGGAAGGAAAGAAGGAAAGCAAGGCAAGGGCAAGAAAGGAAGAGAAGAAAGAAGGAAGGAAAGAAAGAAAGAAGCAAGGCAAGGGCAAGAAAGGAAGAAAGGACTGAAAGAAAGAAAGAAGTACGCAAGGCAAGGGTAAGGGAGGGAAGAAAAAGGGAACGAAAGAAGGAAGGGAAGAAAGAAGGAAGGAAAAAAAGGAGGAAGGGAAGAAGGAAAGAAAGAAAGGAAGGAAGAAAAAAGAAAGAAAGGAAAAAAGAAAAGAAGAAAGGAAGGAAGACAGGAAGAAATGCAGAAAGAAGAGAGGAAGAAGGAAGAAAACCAAGAAAAGAAAAGAAGAGAAAAGAAGGTCTCTAGCATTGGTCACAGCAAAAGATAGTTGCTGTTCGCAAGATATCTTCAGAGAGATGATCTCCAAGGATCTCCCGACACAGGCACACGTAGTAGGGATCCTTGAGCAGGATCGGGAGGAATGGACGGAGTCGGGGGGTAGCACACATAAGGTAGACTACAGGCCCATCATGATCAAATTGCAGGAAAAGGCAAAATTGGTGGACGGCTTAATGTGGATGCCTTGGCAGGTGGTGGAGACTATTCCATATGGTCTCTTGGGGGGATCAGAGGCGTCAGAATGGGTGGCAAGAGGGGCGGCAATAGTCACCAAAACTGATATCTTTTCGTGGCAGCCAGCTTACATAGATAGCAATATAGAGCCCTATGCTACGACGATAGACTTATCCCACACAGGTTCGTGAGATCACAATTGTTCATGAGGCAGACATGGAGAAAATAGGTTATGGAGGGGACACCGGGAGGGGTGATAGAAAGGAGGAGAAGGACAGTACTTTACTCAAGAGGTAGGCAGACAAACCTCAGAATCATGTCTTGGAACATCAATGGGATGGTACAAATATTAGAAAATAAAGATAAATGGGAAAATGTAATGAGGTACTCTGACTGGTATGGGAGGAATCCACCAGATTTCTTATGTATACAGGAAACCCATCTTACAGAATCTACGGCTCATCAACAAATTCAGCAACGCATATTAAAGCAGTTGAGGTGGGTTAAAACAAGCTTCTGGGCTCCAGCAGCCAGACCACATTCATCAGGAGTAGCTATATTACAGAATAAAAGGACTAAAGCGGCAAACAAAATAATACTACAGGATGTGAAAGTAGATGACGGAGAAAGACGCTGGATAAAATTAAATTTCACATATCAAGAAGTGTCCTAACTCCTGGCAATCAAGGTCGGATATGATAAACCTGTTACAGACCAACATAGATTCGTCAAGGCATATCATTTTAGTAGGAGATTGGAATGCTACTCTTGAACCAGGTAAGTATAGATTGTTGGGGGGGAGGTTAGGAATAGGAGAGGGACTTATGTGGGACGAGGCTCTACCTATCCACAATCTTTTGGCATCAAGAGAACTTATAGATCCTTTTAGACTACAGCAACCAGACCAAAAGCAGTTTACTTACTACAAAAGGAATCGAAGTCAGCACATGTTGGCATCTAGGATAGATTACTTTCCCATACCTCAGGATATGATAGGAGTGGTGCATTCCGTAGGGATAGGAGACTTACCATACTGCAGTTGTCTGGATCATAAGCCGATATTTCTTAATCTGATCATGGATAAGCACATCGATAGGGGGAGGAGTTTTTACAAGGTTAATAATTCATTATTAAAAACTCAGGAATTGAGAGAAGTTGTAGTGCAAGTATGCCTAACATTCAATTCTGAAGCACATACGTTCCCTGATATAATAGAAGCTATCACAGGAGTAATATCAGCAGTAGCTAGGCAATTGGCGGCTAGGAGAGCAGCAAGACAATTAGAACTACAAAGGGCGTTACGTATAGCAGAAAGGAATTTAATTAATAACCCGGGGTTAGAGATATATGAGAAAATAATAGAGTCCGCAAGAAGGGAATTGGGAGATTGGGAACGTTGGAGAGCTAAGGGGTTACAAATGAGAGCGCGCGTAAGAGATTGGGAGGAGGGAGAAAGAATGACGAAGTACTTCTTTCAAAAGATTAAAACAAGGGGAAGAAACACATTAATTGAACAGATGGACGGACCGCAGGGTTTGGTGTCAGACCCAGAAGGGATGTTGTCAGTGGCTTATAATTTTTATAGTACATTATACACTTCAAGGGAAGGGGAGGAAGAATCGCATCATCTAAAAGAAGTCAGAAACAAATTCCTCACATATCTCRATTGTACMATAAAGGAGGAACAAGTGCAAATGTTAGATGCACCACTGACCCAGGAAGAGTTGCACGAAGCCCTACAGTCTATGCCTTCTAATAAGACTCCAGGTAGGGACGGTCTTACAAAAGAATTATGGATGGAGTTTTGGCCTATCTTGGGAGGAGAATACGAAGCCTTCCTCAACTACGCATGGCAAAAAGAAGGTCTAGGGGTGGAATCGGCGACAGGAATAGTTACACTTCAATATAAAAAGGGAGACCCCAAAGATATCAAAAATTATAGACCGATTACACTTCTGACTCTTACTCATAAGATAGTAGCTAAAGCTTTGGCAAATCGATTGAGAAGGATAACAGACAGAGCATTCCATTTAGATCAAACAGGTTTTATCCCGGGGAGATTTATATTGGATAATGTAATGACCTTATCGAAATCGGTCAGGTATATTACARACAAGAGGATTAACGCARCAATTCTCTTTTTTRATTTTGAGAAAGCATATGACCAGGTAAACTGGAACTTTCTGCAACAATGCATGGAGAAGATGGGCGTGGGGCCTAACTTTCGCAAATGGATTAGGGTGTTGTATAATGACGCACATGGTCAGGTACAAGTCAACGGTCATTTATCAGGAAGATATAAAATGAGTAGATCGGTTAGACAAGGGGACCCGCTGGCGGCACCTATTTTCCTGTTTATAATGGAGGCTATAGCTTCCTTTCTCAGGAAAGACCCAAGCATAGATCGTCTGATAATGGAACCGGATCAACAGGGTCGTCTCATACAGTTGCCAACAACGATACTGTTCGCAGACGATTTGACGGTCCTAATTAGGGCTACAGATTCGTCTTTTCAAGCCCTCACGAAAGCGATGGATGCCTTCCAACTGGCCTCGAAAATGAAAATTAATTGGCCTAAAACAGTGGGATGGTGGCTATCACATGATGACCATCAAACTCTACCTCACCCGCCGAATTTCGGGGGAATGACATGGGCGTCATCAGATCAACCACTGAGGTATTTGGGGATCACACTAGCAGATACAGGTCCTCACTACTAGATGGCACAACAGCAGATGACCAAAATGTTAGCCAAAATGTCAGTATGGTCTGAAATTTACACGTCACTTTTTGGGAGGGCACTAATATTAAACGCTTCTATCTTCTCCATGTTATGGTACGCTGGAACAATATGGACACCTCCATTACACTCTCTAAACAAGCTCAGGAGAGAGGCAACAGCATACCTCTGGACAGCGAACCCTACTAAGATAAATTATATTTCAAAGGTAGCATGGAGACAGGTTATTCAGACAAAGGATCAGGGGGGTTTGGGAATCCTCGATCCGGGTCAGCAGATCAAAGCACTCCAAACTAAATGGGTTATCAAATTACTCACACAACCCCATCTCCGCTGGGTTCCGTTGGTTTTGGACCATATACGAGGGATGGCTAAGTATAAAACTCCTCCTAATATGGAAGGAACGTTCTGTTTTTTTTGTAAAGGTTGGGCCAAAAGGAGAAGAGAAGGAATACAGGAAGGGGAAGATGATTCGACCAGGAATGCATATTGGGCTCAAATACTTAAGATTTGGACAGATATATTCCCCGCAAGAGTAAGAAACCAAGGACGAAGGAGGAAGTACTTAGGCAACCGTTATTTTGTAATCCATGGTTGAAGGACCCCCAAGGAAAACCAAGGACACTCACAACAAAGGATGCCAAGTGGGGAAACTGGTTGGAACATGGAGTATGGCAAGTGAAACATCTATGGTCAGAATTGAATGTAAGATGGAAAACGGGTAGAGAACTGAGGGAAGAAGTGAAGGGGTGTCATAGACTAATTGAAAACCTGAACGACATATTAATCCCCATTCCGGAGGATTGGACGAGGATGTTGAGGGGTCCATACAAATGGGGATGGGGTGATTGGGCAACCTGGAGTCAAAGTGTAGAACCCCAGCAAGCTTTTCGAATTGGTCAGGAGGTAGGACCAGATAAACAGTGGTTGGAAGCGGATATGTATTCAATCTTTACCCCAGGCAACATAGTGAGCCACTTAGATAAGGATTCTAGGGTACCGATCACCATCAGGAAGGATCTCTTGAGAAAAGTCAGAGTCATAGAGAATGATGAATTCACAATATATGCTCCAACGATCACCATTCAGAATCTAGAGGTGGACCCAGTTGAATGGGCATGGAACATCAAGGGAAGCTCGTCACGAGTGGTCAAAAAAATTAACATACTTCAGTATACAACTAAATGGGGATATCGGCTTAGAAGAAGGTCGAACCACTTGGATAGGCCTTTGGCGATAAGATGGGAAAAAAGGGTGGGCATACCAAGACAACAGGTAGGTAAAATACCATGGTCAAGCCTTCATGGTATCAGGTTGGGCAAGATCCGGAGCATGCAGTGGCTTATATTCCAAGAGGCACTTCCGGTTAACGTATAGTTATATGAAAAAAGGAGTAGGTAGTATAGGGAAGAAATACAACAAGACTGTACTATGTGCATTGACAAAGAGCCTGAAACGATGGTACATTGTCTACTTAATTGTACGGAAGCAGAATACATATGGGCCATGACCGGTAAACTTCGGAAGCGTACTACGGACGTTCTCTTTCCAAGTAGCACAAGGCTCTTGCTTATGGGAAGAGAAGTACCTAAGACATGGAAGGGGAGTGAAAAATACATCTTTCAGCTATTGAGACAGTATTCATTGTGGATTATCTGGAAACGGAGATGTCAACGGGTGATCGGCAAAAGTCTGATGACCAGGATGGAAGCCAGAACCACGCTCTATAATCTATTGGAAACAGACATTAGAGCTCAATGGCAGA